CCGCCGGCTCCCCAGGGCTCCGCGCCGGGTGCTGCAGGGCCCGAGGCCCCGCGCTGCAGGCTCCCCCCGCGTCCTGGAGGCGTGGCCTTCAGGACCCCCCTCCCCAGGGAGCTGGTCCCCGGGGAGCCCCTGAGCTCAGCGCCCACGACGGAGCAAGAATCCGAGAGAAGAGGCGCCAACCTGCGGGGGAAGAGGCCGGGCGGTCACGTGGTGTGTTTTCTTTGGTCCCATTGGCCAGCGTGTAGTCACATGGCCACGGCGCGCTGCGGGGAATGCTGGGAAATGTAGTCTTTCTTCTTTGAGGCCCTCTTCCTGCAAAGAGTAGATTTCACATTCGATTAAATTTCATATTAGATATTAGATTGTTTTAGCATAAAGCCCAGGCGCCCCTGAGGCCCGAGCACTGCCTTCCTCCATCTCGCTTCAGGCCCCTGCTCCTCCCGCGACCTCCCTCTGACCTCCCTCTGACCTCCCTCTGACCTCCCTCTGACCTCCGACCTCCCTCTGACCTCCCTCTGACCTCCCTCTGACCTCCGACCACAGGTGACACCAATACCCCAGCTGCCCAGGAGGGACCTGGACTTCCCCCCCCCAGATTGCTCCCTTTCCTTCACCCCCCAGGAGCAACCGAGGAGAGGACTCCAAGCTCCCTCTGCACGTGGGGCTCCCACAGCCCCTCCTGCAGGGACAGCACCACCCCCTCCCCACCCAGCACCCAGCACCCAGCACCCACTCCTCCCTCACGCCCACCCCCTCACCCTGCAAATGCCGACGCTCGTGTTTTACATGTGCGACCAGCTGGTGCCCCTGCCTTGCTTAACTGCTCCCGGCTACGTATTCAGGGCTGCACAGCACGGGCGGGGGGCCCCCAACCCGCCCCGCCGGGTGCCCCAGCCTCAAGCCCAGGATCACCCTCTCAGGAGGCCCCCCCGACCTGTTGGCCAGCTGGGACCCCCGGCCTGGTCTCCCCGCTTTGTTTCCTTTGGGTGACTCTATTTGTCTGTCTTGTTCACTCGCTCTCTTGTGCGCGGCCCCGGCAAGGATGGGAGAAGCCAGGAACACGCCTGTGTCCTGCGCTGGGGTGTCCCCAGAACGTGGGGCAGTGTCCGGTACAGAGACCGGCTTCATAGGCAGGTGGGGAGAGTTATTAACCAACGTCACCCCGATAAATTCAACTTAAAAAGGTTGGTAGGGAGACAGAGACACAGAGACAGAAATGGAGAGAGATAGGGAGACAGAGAGATGTAGTGAGATAGACAGAGATAGTAACAGAGAGCACTGTGCCCTGAGCTCAGGGTCCCCCTCACATGCTCTCCCCGTCCCTGTGAGCACAGGTGACAAGGGAGTCCCCTCTTCTGACCGCCTTGTTGACAAAGCCCGTCAAAGGAACCTGCCCACGCACCTGCGCCTCCGAGGATCCACGGGGCCCAAGAAGGAAGGCGTGGCGGTGCTGACCTGGCTCATTGGGGTGGCCCAGCCCACCCCAGCCCAGGAACCTTATCCCGGGCCAGGAGGGGAAGAGCCACTCCCCAAGGCTGGGCATCCCTGTGGACAAGGCCAGCCTCGGGCTGAGCTGCTGGCCCTGGGCTCCCAGACCCTGGGAAGCCAACCCCACGGCCCTGACCCCGACAGGCCCGAGGCCCACATGCCCCAAAGGCCTCCCGGAATTATGGGCTGTGGGGTCAGAGTGAGCTGGGCACGGGGACTGAGGGTTGCCACGAGAGCTGGGGTGGAGACCAGGCCCCCCCGATGGAGAGGCCCTCCCTTCTGCCCTCCGAGACTTCAGACTGGACCCACCCTTCAGGTGAGGTTAGGACACACCTGAGTGAGGGGGAGGAGCATGGGTAATAAAGGCAGGTAGGGAGAGGGCCAGGCCAGCAGTGGCACCGACACGGGCGACCAGGGGCCTCCTTCTGAGGCACAGGTGACCCTGGGACTTTGCTCTGCTCTGTCCACGTGCAGGAGTGCTGCAGGAGCCCGCCTGGCATCAGTGGGTCCAGACCACCCATCATGAGACAGGCTGTCCTCCTGGCTGTGGCTCTGGCCGCCCTCCTGGCCCCAGCGGCCGGGGTGCCCATCCACCAGCGGGGCTCTCGGAACAAGCTGCTCCTGGTGTCCTTCGACGGCTTCCGCTGGAACTATGACCAGGACGTGAACACCCCCAACCTGGACGCCATGGCACGCGAAGGCGTGAAGGCCCGCTACATGACCCCCCCCTTCACCACCATGACCAGCCCCTGCCACTTCACCCTGGTCACTGGTGAGTGTGGACCTTGGGTGGGGCCTGGAGGTGGTGGGGGGCCCGAGAAACCAGGGGAACCAGGGCATGCACACAGCCCTGAGCCACAGGGCACCTTGTGGGGACAAAGGTGAGACAGGAGAGGACACTCTCACTGGGGAGAGACAGCTTGGTCAGCGGCCCTCAGCATTGGTAGCAACTGATAGAGGGGCAGGGACATACTTGTCCCAGTCCCTCTTCTTTGCCTTCTGAGCTCAGGCGTATGCATTTCCATGCAAAAAATAAAAATAAGAAGAAGATACCCCATGGGTCTCCACCCGCTTTATTTAAACGCCTGCCAGGGTCTCTACTTTATGGCTGGATCGTAATTTATCTCATTAGTTCCCTTCCGAGAGCCGCCCAGGTCTCCCCAGATCTTTTGCAAAAACCACTGAGACTGCGGGCGATCGCGCCTGCGTCCCTGCACATGCGGGTGACTGCGGTGACAGCGCCCGCCCCACGCCCCCTCTGCGCCTCCTCCCCGCAGGCAAGTACATCGAGAACCACGGCGTGGTGCACAACATGTTCTACGACACCAAGACCAAGGTGAAGCTGCCCTACCACGCCACCCTGGGCATCCAGCGGTGGTGGGACAACGGCAGCCTGCCCATCTGGATCACCGCCCAGAGGCAGGTAAAGCTGCCCCAGGCCCCTGGACGGGGAGGGTGGGCGATGTGACCACGGGAGCCCCGTGGCAGGCCCCTCGCCCGCCCTGGGATTCCCGGGGCTCCGGGCAGAGGGGTGTGGGTGCCCAGCAGTCATCAGGATCTGCCAGGGGCTGCACAGCCCTGCAAGGTCCTCCCTGGGACCCCGGGCACCAAGAGGGATGCGCCATCGTCCCTGTCGGACAGAAACTACACCTTTGGGTCCTTCGGCACTTGGCGGCGGTGGGGGGCTGTCACACAGGGAAAAGTACCCCACTCAACAAAAAGGCATATAACAATAAAATGGCTTTGTCCCTCCCCCTGCCACACCCCCTCAGGGCTGGGCAGCTGAATTTTAAGGGTGGAGATACCGTAAGGGGTGGCCTGTCGTGTCAGCCCAAGAATCCCAGCAACCCGCAATATTCTGGACCTTCCCGGCCCCGGGGGAATGGCTTCCAGTCAGCGAGGCGGAGGCGCTACTCAAGTCCGAGACCCCCGGCTCCGAAAGGAGCTGCCCAGATGCCAGGCTCAGCCTCGGGAAGCCGGAGCTGACAGCTTGGGCTGGGGGACTGGACGGGCAGGGGGCACGTGTGGACAGGTGGCTGGGAGGACAGGTGGAGCAATAACTGAAGCAACAGGTGGTCAAGGGAAAGACAGGCGGAGGGGTGCCCAGGGTGCTGGAAGGGCCGACGCACGCCGGGATGGGCATACGGCAGGGAGAGGCCGGGCTGCCGGCTGCGCAGGGGGGCTTCAGGCACCTCGGCCTCTGGGCGTTGGCCTGGGCCCCACAGTGGCGAGGACACTGCACATCCAGGGACACTTGTCCGTCCATTATCTCATTAGTGCCGAGTCCACTGCGCACCTGCTCTCTTCCTCTATAAAATCATTATCGGCCGCAGATAAGCGCGGCGAGAGGCCTTCAGAAGACGAAAGGGCTCAGGGGCAGCGAGCGGGCAGGCAC